TTAGTTATGCTGTGTGACCCCTCAATACCTCTTGTGATTTTAAAGCTCCTATTTTATATAAAGAAGTAGCAACTGATTGATAGGAATTATTGCATTGTCTAAACTAGTCAGCTGTATGAAAACATCATAGCAGTCTTTGATGTGCATCTACTGCTGAAGTAGGCCCACAGGACCAACATGTTCTAAAGGACTATAAACACCCACATCTTGTCTAACACTTCAACCCAACTATTTAGGAACTACTTCAGTAGTGCATAAGTCTCCTAATTAATGATTTGGCCAAGCAGTTTCTAACTGAAAGCACTGGTAGCATGCAGATATAAACACTCCCACCAAACCACAGTTGTGCTTCTTCTTTTGCCAGTAGACAAGCAACGTATTGCATTGCTCAAGTCTACTGAGATGTGCCAAACTCATGAACAAAGCAGGGCAGGGAGGGCAGTATTATATATGTTCTGCCATATATCTTCTTCTTCCAGGCTCCTAAGGTGGCTTTCTTTCTGCATTTGCTCTTGTGTCTTTTTTCTTTTTTCTTCTTCTCTTTGTTGTTTTGGTTTTGATATATGTACTACATAAAGCAGATTTTGGTTAATAATAATCTGGCATCCGTCTGTGGCTGATAATTCCATCTTCTCATCCTTCTGTGTGTCTTCCTTTACGTGACCTAAAATTAAAACTGTGCTTCCATATTGAAGTTGGCTATTTTTCAGTTTGTCTGGAGCTCTTGATACAGAAGTTTTCAGCTGGTTATTAAGTCTTTAGTAGGAAAATTTCTTCTTTATTCTCCATTTGTGCAACATAAAACATCACTCGCTCACTAGTACTTTGTCCTTTCATGCAAGTACCTTCTGCAACAGAACAGGATACGGCTTCCCTCTGGTGTTTGGTCACCTTTTATTATCCAACGAATCTGAGACTAAAGCTGGAGAACAGCTCATGGGCCATCACCTAGAGACAGTTCAATTCAGTAGTTAGGGAATTCCGTGTGAAATCTGAGTTCTGTAGATAATTTTGTGCCATGGAATCAAATATCCTTCTCTCTTTTCAGTCCCCTTCAGAACAGCTCCCTATATTTGCATCAATCCATTCACATTGCCTACAAATCTAAATATTTATTTTCTCCCCTCTACTCTTCTTAATTTTGTAATAACATTATACATAAAGTAAGTTTTCTGTGGCATGAAACTGCAATCCATTTCAGTTTCATTTGCACAGATATCAAATGAAAAGATCTAATCTCACCAGGTTTGAAATGGAGATAGTGTCAATAAATGCTTTTGTTGCTTATTTAAATTTTGCATTTCATTTGAAGATTTTTAGCTTTATTATCTTAAACTAAGCTGCTTCCTATTTCCTACACTGGCACAGATTGGAAGAACTGACCATGTAGAATGGATAACTGAAAAGAGCAAGCTTTCACCTCTCCCTGAACTATTTCTTAAAAAACCTTAAAAAACAATGCCCTTAAAAAAACATTGTGGTTGCACCTTCCCTTGTTTTCCCATAGTGTCCCTTGTGCCTGTATCTGCCTGTCCAGAATAGTCTCTGCCCTGAGGACTCCTTAGCAGAAGAGTTTGAAGTGTGCATCCTTCCAACTTCTGTACTGAGACTCTCCCTGCAAGTTCTGCCACTGATAGAACTGCCTTTTTCTTGGGTTGTCTTTGAAAGCCTCTCTCTGCTCAGCCATAAATTCAAAAAAGAAGAGATAGGGGCTGGATTTCTGCCCTTTCAGCTGCCAGCATTCCACCTAAAATCTGCACTAAGCTAGGAACAAACATTTATTTAACAAACAAGTTCAACACGGGGAAAAACCCATCAGCCTTAAATCTTCCGCAGTCTGTCCAATAAGCACATCAGGCTTCAAAGCCAATGCTGGATAACTTTCAGATCAACTCTTGCTCTAATGGGCTCTCATCTTGATTCTCACAGCAGAGGATCTCTGTGAGGCTGAAAAACAGTTGTGTGAGTGATCTTAGTTTTGTGTTTTTGTTGCTTTTTTTTTCTCTCTCTTTATCTTCTATTTTCTTCTCAAAGTCGTTTTCCATGCTCCTGCTTAATTTATGACTAGTTTGTCTAGGTCAAATTGAAGAGGTTTCTCTTAATGCCTGAGGTGGAAGGATTTATTTTCAGAGAGAAAAATCAGAAGCAAATGATTTCTTGGCTGAGGAGCATAAGTACACTGAACCATGACTGTTCTCTGCCTGGGCTCAGTTCCACTAAAGGCAGGTTGCATAACTACTGCATTCACTACTAGCATGATGGCTTCTTTAGAAATGAAGACTTGTAGTCGCTACAAAAGAAAAGAGTATTCAACTAATGCTTTTCTGTCAGTGTCTCCTTTCCTGCACGCTGAGATTAGGACTGACCACAGATTTCTAATACCTTATATAAATGCCATAAGAAGAGCAGTGAAGGGGTTAGAGCTGCCTGTTGCATCTAAAAACTCCACTATCAAAGCGTTTTTCCACTCTCTCTCAGACTGCTTGCTCTTCTTTTACAGAAAGCCTCCCTTTTATCAATTGCACTTGGTCCATCATCTCTACCTAAAAAAGGACTGAATAGCAATCTATTTTGTGATTTCTCAGCCATCAGATTTGTCTCAGTACTTCTTCAATTCTGACATTTCTCTGTATGAATTCAAAGCAGCATATTTTGTTTGCTCAGCATCCCTTTGAAATGGTATTCCTTTCTGTAGCTGCACTTTGTCTAAATTTAAGATGCTAACAGCACAAATCTGTTGTGGTTTACACCGAAAGAATAAATCCCCATCTACACTTCAGAGCTAGACCTGAATATACCAAGATGAATACTGTAGAACTGATTACTAAGCGATGTGCTCATCCTGCAGTCAAGCAAGTACTTACACATTTTTCTTGTCTGGTTCATAGTCTCCTTTTTTTCAGCTTCTAAGAAAAGTACTGCTGATAATTTTGACAATTTTCTTTCTTTCCATTTCTATTCTGGGTTAACGAGTTAGCCTGTGCTCACTCTGCTCTTATGCATCAAAAAAAATGAAGTGTTTCAGAAAGTATGCTTTACCAGCTCTTAGGTTGTTATTTTTCAATTATATTATGTAAATACAAGTTATTGATAGTTATAAACCTTATTTTATAGATACCAGCCACGAAAGTATTTCAATAACAAGATACATGGCAGATCTGTGTGACATTTTTCTGGACCTCGGTAGCCACTGCACTCTGCATTTCATTAAATGTAATGCCAAGAAGATATGTGTTCAAATGTACTCTGATGAACACATTTTCTAGGTTTCACATAGCAGAGATTTTATAACTGTCTCTTTCAACATCCTGGCTTTTAAGAAGTATATACAAAAGTATAAAAAAATACTACGTGCATGAAAAGCTCTGTTTTTCAAAGTGCACACGCATCTGCAGTGCTGATCTTCCCAGTGGTGGACAACTACAACTCTCTGCACCCAGATATAGCAGCTATTTTTAAGCCTTTAATTAAAGCAGCATGCCAGTAATATGCTAGATATTTACTGAAACGCAGTACAAACACACACCACAGACACCACCTAATTAAAAACACTAATTTGGCACCATCTGACCTGATCAAATTTCTGCTACAAAAATCTTTACTTCTCTAATCACAATGCAATTGCAAGCACTCATGCAGCTCTCAAGTAAACTATATTAAAAGAAAAATTAAAACGTACAAGAAATACAGAGAGTAAAAAGTACATTCTCTGTGACTACATACAATAAAGGATCATTTAATTGATTTTGAAAAGCAGGTAGTCAGGCATCAGATAAAATAGATATATTTGACAACTAAGTAGTGAGTTAGTTGTCTCACATTCTGCTCTTTAAATAGGATGACAAAAAAGATCTTGAAGAGCTTTCTATGTAGATGAACATGCCAGTAAATACATGTTACACGATTCAAAATGCTAACCTCACCAATTAAAACTGGCATTTATGATATAACTATTATTGGCCCACGTTTTATACATGTTTTTGCCAAAACACACAATGGAATTGAAAATATTTGCTATACCAATCCAGCCCACTAGAGGCCCGGTAACATGGAATAGTTTAGAATATACTTAGAAGAAATGTAATGCACTATTAATAGAATCATCTGGATTGCCACCTATATCCCAAAGTGTCAAGTTCTCCAGTATTTTTAATTGTAAGAAAAACAAACAACTTCATAATATGGTGGTTAGCTTCCTAGGACTTCAGGATAGTAATTGTTCCAGTAATGCTTTGAGTAGATAAATTAGATTATTAGAGATATTTTCCTTCATAGAATATTGTGGTAAAATAACCACTTGCTGTGATGCTTGAGAATAATAAAATTGGCAAGCTGAACTAGATATGATTTTTCATCCCACTTCTTTCCTACTCACTTGATGTAAAACAGGATCTCTTAGTATCACACATCAGATCATACATCAGAACTCCATCAGAATCTTGTAACCAACACACAGACCAAGACAAATATAGGCAAATATCATATAGATAGAGGTATACATAATACCATCTTGATAAAAATAGAAAACTCCATGTCTAATTAGATAACCTCTAACAGTACATTGCGAATGTCTTAGATTAGAATAGTTTCCAAACGTTTGATTTGGTAGACATGTGATATCCAAAGACCAAAAAAAAAAAGATATTTCATGAACGTCTCTACTCTGTCTCTACTCTGAAGTAGCAAGGCTTAGCATAATACTGCTGTCTGTCTGCCTTCTACTCTCATATAGGAAGAAGACCCTTAACTGATCTGAATGCTTCAAATTAAGTTATATATGGTATGTTTAGTTCATGGACTGACACAAAGTGTTCCAGAAAGTCATCCTAAAGTATATAACCCAAAGGCATGGGGTTAAACTGCTTTTACTGTGCCTTTCTGCTTTACTAGTCCCAGATGTTTAACTCATCTTCCACTGCGTTTGTAAGTAAGGTGGCATAAGGAAACTGCACAGAACACAGCTCTCTGGATAATGTACTAATTGTTTTACTGGTTCTCACCTCCTCAACCATGTGCTTAACTTTCTTCTGTTGGCAGTGGACCATATCATCCAGATGCTTTATTCTCTCCCTTAGGCTAGCTGCTACCTCCTCCAAATGCTGTGACCTAGCAAAAGATGGAAGAGTTAAATGTATAAGTGAGAAGGTATGCAGCAGAAGCAAAACAGGAATAAACTGCCAGAATCTCACCACAAATCAAGAAGATCCGGTACAGAGGTAGGCAAGTCAAATTCCACTGGCAGAAGTGTATTTTATTTGTCTAAACTACGTCTTACTGGTAGTGTAGTAGTCTAAGTAGTTGTCTCCACCCAAGTTCACTCACCTTTCTCTGGCATTCTGGCACACTTACTCATAGCCCAAAGTGCTGACAGTTAAGCATAATAATAAAGCTCATCTTCTTGAGACATCTGTTTTTCCTTGAAGTAAAAGGCATTGAGACAACTAGATCTTTATCACCTGAAAGGCACATTTATCCTGGCTTACAATCACCTGCAAACCTTTTGGAAATATAAACAAAATAGAATCCAAGGAAGCACATCTGCAGCTGTCCTTTTAAGTGCTCTCCTACTACGGGGCAGCTGTGAATCGAGTATTTGGCATAGTTGCCAACAGTAGCAGAAAGCTAACTGGAGTAGAAATAAGTCAACAACAGTCAGCAAGAGTTGCTGCCGATGTTTTTAGTTTATACCTATGGCCTTGTATAGAGATTCTGTTTTTCTTAAAAGCCATTTAGCACAGAAATACAACATTCTTCGAACTCCTACCAAAAACTGAAACAGGAGGGAATATTTAAGAGACTATTGGCATGTTGGCCATGACCTCCTCCATTTTTATCTGAATATACAGTTTTCAAAATTCATAAATAAGAGCAATTTGTGGCTTGCAAAATAAGCTTCTGTACTGCTAGGTTCAGGACAGATTCGAGAAGTGGAAGAGGGGAATCAAACACAAAAAGAATTTTTTAATCTTGCTCTGTGCACAGCAGAAGAAACTGCTGAAGTCGCAAACAGAACAACCATTTTAAGGAAAAGCAGCAGATGGCAAACTGTATGACATGATTCTATTGAATGTTTGAATTGCATGCTGTTTCCCCTCCATAAAAAGCTTCTGTTAACAGCACTCTATGGAACTGTAACCTCAGCACTTGGACAAGGACTCAAAAAACAAGGCATTACTGCAAGTTTTTTAGTCACGCATGTTAAGGTCTCACAAAGCCGCAGTTTTCATTTTGCAACTATAACACACATCTTGCCTTATTAAAAGATTTTAAATTAAAGTACTACAAGTAATGGAGAAACAGAAGAGATAATCCTCAGGTAGAGAACTTCAGAACAGACCTCATCATGTGAATACAGATTCACTGACTCATTGTATAGATTGCTATCGTATGCTTGCTCACTCTGCACTGCACAAATTCCTGTCTCTCCTTTACCCTTTTTACTGCAGCATAACTTTTCATGCTGAGTGGGCAGAGCAGGATTCACTGACGTGGGAAGAGTATCAGTTAGACAGTGGTAAAGGAAAGAAGGAAATAGTTTTTCATCTCCATATTCTATGTTGCATGGAACATCTATACATTTTAAAATGTTGTTTTAACAGACTGACATGAAAAGCCATTATTTCCTGAAACCAATAAGAAGGTCACAGATCAGTGCAACTAGGCAATAAGGTGCTCTGGGCAGAGATTTCCGCTTGCGTTTGTGCATCATACAGAAGAATAGGATGCCAGAAATTCAAAACTTTAAAACTGAGTTTCTAGGTCCCCAAAAATATCAATAGTAATCAAGTATGATTGTTCAGTCTCTGCTTATAAATCATTTTTACCCACTCTACTAGTGTCATATAAACATTTGAGAGTAATAGACACAATTCTCACTCCAGTGGTAGTTACGCTACCTTGGTGCTGGATAGATTTCTCTTGAAACCGTAATTCTGGCTTTGCATTAAACTTTCTTTTGCCTATTTGTGATGCTGCATTGGTGTCAAAGAAGTAGCAGTGGATGCACATGCCATCCTTGGGCAGAAGCAGCACACCCAGGTGCCACCACGCCATTAGCTCTTCCTTCTTTGCCTCATGCTTTCCAGAACAACCATTCACAGAGGTCTCACTGCCAGCAACATCACTCTCACTTCCCTCAAATAACTTCACAACCTATTTCTGCACTGTGATGCTACAGGACAGATTTTTCCACACCTTCATTTTGTTCATGTGCATATGTTCCCCACATTTGTAGACCTGCATATACACTGTTTTTCTTTTATACAGAAGACAAGTCAGATGCAAAACTCTTGCTCTCTTCATCAGTTCAAATTATCAAAGATGAACTTTTTTTTTTTTATCCTACAGCTGATTTTATCCTATCGCTTCATATTGATACAGAATATATTTTCTTTTAGAACCATATCAAATGGTCTAGAAGGTGATGACCACAGTGTTTGTAGTTAGCATTATACTACAATGAATTTGGGAATGCAGATTTAAGAAAAATGCAATCCATTAAATATGTTATGTTGCACATATTCTGCATGTTTGCAAAGAACTTTTCAGGACAAATGTATGGAAGAAATTTGTGATTAATCCTCTTCATATTTTTTTTATATTTGAACAAAGAACTTATCAGATGGACAATGTCTCCTAAACTGCAGATTTCAAGTTAGGAAAATAAAATTCAGATGTCCAAAAACAAACCAATCAACCCCTAACATTATCTAGCAATACTGTTCATTGACGAAACATATCTCACCTCTCACTGTCAGAGTTGCTTTCAGATTTTGCTCCAGATAGTTGTATTTCATTTAGTTCCAGTTGTTTTTGCAGCTGGTGACGTTCCTAAACAAGAAATGCAATAGCCTCCCTCAGTTTTCCATATGTCAAAATGTAAAGACTTCACTAAGAATAATATTTCATTGCAATTCAAAAGATCATTTGTGAAATGAAAATACAAAGTAATTAAACAAATTTACAGCTGCTACAGAGGATTCATTCATCGCCTATATCCACAGAATTAAATAATAGAATCAAATTCCAGCTATCCAGACTTATCAATCATACATTTGAAGATGTGCAGTGATACTTGAAACTGACATATTTGAATGAAGAAATGAATCATCACTATCTTTAACTACATAACTGTCATATTTTCCATGCTATCCTACCAAAAAGATTTCTCATTTCAAGGCAGAGATACAAGCTACTCCTCTATTTCTTCCCTCCAAAAACATCCTTTTTCAGTCATCCACAAAGTGCTTGTGAAAAATCTGTGAGAACTTGGGAACTGAATGAACACAGACCAATAGAGGAATCTGCTATCCAGTTTGATGGGAATTTAAGAGAGCCATTCAAATATCAAGTAGATGAGAGCAAATTAAATAACTAAAGAAAAGAAACTCATCCGTACTGTAAGAACGGTGTTACAATTCCTTGATTCATTGCATAATACTTATAAGCGATAGGCTGCAGCCCAGATGAAGTTAACAGAGCTGCTGAAGTGGCCTGTTAAGCTGACATGATTCCTCAGAGTAATCTTTAATTCTACTAATGAGACTTGTAAGCGTTAGACAAAAGAGGCTCAATATAAATGCACATCAGACTAACCAGTTAAGCCAACAAGACTGGCCATTAAAAATATATTCCTCAGCAGTAGCAAAAATTTACTATATTGAAGTCCATACTGAAGTAGATGAAAAAACATTTCACTTGTAAAACACAAGATTATATTATCTTTACTTACTAGAATTTCTCAGTACATTCTCTGTTTCTTTATTCTAGATACAAAGACCCAGATCTCTAAAGATGATGTCTGCTATTTACTTAAATGGGAGACACCAAAGTACATCCTAGAGTACTGAAGACTTTTAAAAGTGCTGCTCTTATCCCTTTTAGCATGACACCATACAGTCTAAGGATTAAACAATAACATTCATTCTTAGTTTAGTGAATGATACTAGAAAATGAAGAAGAAATTTCACTGTAACTGCTGGAGACAGAGGATATATAAAGCTTTCAGCTTTCAGTTTCAGATATTTGAGAAGGTCCAACAGATGCGATTGAGAAAAAAAAATACCAGGTAGGAAAAGGTATTGTGATACTCACAGACATAATCATGCATTAGAATAATAATAATCTGAATACTACTGTAAATTTTGTCCCAGAGCAAAATCCATAGAAGAGAAGGAAGGGTGGGAAATAAAAAGAAACAATACAAAACTGCTGAAACTAGTTTTATGGTAGTGCTGCCAGTGTAGCAAGAGATAAATGTCTCAAAGCATTTCTGCTTTCAGAGATTTAAAAGGCAATCATCGAAGAAACAGTTCTTAATTACATTTTAGTAGGGATTATTGAGCTAGGGGGAGAAATATATTTTAATACTGTCAGAAAAGAAAGAAGGTAAATTTTAGATTGAAAAGCATTGTACTCCATCTTTTCTTCCCTTCCCAAAATATTCTGAGACATCAAAATGAGGTAAAGTCTACATGGAAAAGGGAAGCTGCTGCTACATATCCGCAAAGAACATTCAGAACCTTTTAGTTTGAAGCCTTCAGATTAGCACTGTATTCAAATGAGAAGAAATTTGGAGATGCAATTCCAATCAGAACTATAAATAGTTTAATAACAAGGCCTGTATCTTGCTAAAATACATTTTAGTAGCCCTACCAACATCATTTCTATGAGCTTTTGGGTCATTTACGATTAATTCATTAGGCTTGGGAAACCATGTACACAGCAGGAAGACAAAATGTTTTTTTAATATGATGGTTTACTACATAAAGCAGCTCTGACCACCAAAAAAGTAGAAGAATCACTTAGTCATAGTATCTCCTTGATAATCTAGATGCATTTATTTATATGGATGCAATAACAGCAGTGGTAAACCACTGAGTATGGTACTGAGCAACAGGCAACTAAAAAATAAATAACATTCCCTTCAGGTACTTCTCCCTTGTCTTTGAATATGACAAGCAACTAACTCTCATACCTCTTCCATGCGTTCAATCAACCGATCCAGCTCACCAATTCTCTGGTCTTTCTCCTGTATACTTGTTTCTGTAATCTGCATCTTCTTATTTGACTCCTCAATAGCCTTCAGAAGCCGGTTGGTTTCCTCCTTCATGTAAGAAGATTTACAGTCACAACAACATACAGTACATTAATGAGAAATGAAACCATTCTTAGGCTGTAGCATCAAGACAGCAGTTTGTAAGCAAAGCTCAAAGCTGTTGACTTACCTAGAAATCTGGAAGAGTTGTGATCCCAAATGTGTATAGAGCAAAAGATCTGGGGCATTTTGAAGCACAGAGGTATTGTAAAGTATCATTATGAAAGTGTGAGAAAAACACCATTTCTTACATATTTGTTCTCCCTTCTGAATAGCAGTGAAGAAACAGCATGAGAAACTACGCTATTCCAATTGACAGCTTTTATCCTGTTCAGCTGTGTACTTTCCTCACACATAAAACAACAGGAATAGAAACAGGCTAGGGAATCTACCTTCAATCTCAATCATCTGTCTTTAGCAGCTAGAAGAACATGACAAACTGTTCAAAAAAGGTTTTACTTGTGGGTGGAATGAGACAAGGAGACACCAAGAATTACTGTCTAACTAATGTCCAGTGAAATTTACCCTTCCTCCTTCCCTCTTCTAAAATATCACTAAAATTGGACAAAAGTTGTTTGTTTGTTTGTTTTTTAAAGAGGATCAGAAGCTAAAAAAAAAAAAAAAAAAGGCCAAAATACTTAATTTTAAATTTTGAAGCCTATATTATCATTACTGCTGCTGCGTTTGAATATACTTTTTTCTCAGCCCTAAAACCCCGATAGCTTTGAAAACTGTGTAATGGTGGTTTGACAAGTCACAAAGAAAGAAGCATATGCACACTCTGGACTATTAGGTGATTGAGAAATGACACCCAAACTGAATACCACTTTTACAGACCAAATATACATACTAGGAGAATTTCCTTCTCAGCTTTATGTTTCTGCTCCTCTTCTCTCAGTTTTTCCTCATACTGACTGTACAGTTTTCTCGTCATCTCTCTCATGACTTCAGCATTGGCTTCTTGTGATGATTCCACCTACAATAGGGGAAAGGATGAAAGTTATAGTTGACCCATCAGTCAGTAGAGCACAGATGTCTGCAGGAGAAATGAAACTCGCATGACATGAAACTAACACCTTGAATTTTAGCTCCATCTTGCTATAAGTTTGACATAATTGAAGCAGATTTTCATTCGTGTCAAGATCATTTACAACATGGCCAATGTAGAACTCATTCAAATTTGTGGAAGTTACTATTTCATCAAGTTTGATGGTGCCTGAATTTAACCAACCATTGCTTCTCCAGGAACAGGTCATGACTCTTTACTGAGCCCTTCCATAAGAGTGTCCAAGTCACTGGAAGACTCCTGCCACATTACAAAAGCGTATTTTAGAGAGAATAGATTTAGCTCCTGTTTCTAGATGGCCATGAACTCTTAAAGTAGTGATTACCTTAAGCTGAATCTAATTTATGTGTTGTTAAGCAGAAGACACAGATGCACTCTTCTCTCTCTTGCTTGTTCACGTACTACTCTTTGTGCAAGCACAAGAAACAGGGTGATCATGGAGAAAAGTTCATCAGAGAACAAACCAGGCTGAAAATTAATAGACCCAGGGATTGGATATGGTTAATTTTTAACCATAGGATGAGCAACTCTATCACTGCATCAAGGAAGAGGGCAAGAATGGCAATTCAGAGACAGGATTTCCCCTTTAGGGTGGTTCAAAACACTCACTAAAACACACCCTCAGTGATTAAACACTGGATAGGACATTTGCAGCTTAGTCCATTTACTATGTAAACTCCAGTAAAAGCAAAGTAGAACAGCTTCTCCAGGACTTAGTTCTCTTACTAGAGATGCTATAAATCAGAGAAGGTTATACTAAAATACTGTGAGAGCTACAGCAGGGAGAAGAATGAAGTGATCCCTGTTGATCACACAACCACAAAGCCCCTGGTTCTGATTTCAAGGTTTTGTTTGTGTGGGGTTCTTGTATTTTGTTTTTTACTTCTTTGCTTCAAGGACTGAAGGGTTTATTAAACCCTTGTGTTTATCTTGCGTGGTAGGAACAAGTGTCCTACTGCCCTGTGGGATAATAACATATTTCATTCCTTGCAAAGGGACTAAGCTCTGAAGGATTCCACTTGTACTGCAATTTCCCCCTGGGCACCTCACCCAAACAGAAACAGGGACAGAGGTAGTAATTTGCACTTTTTGAGAGAGACTACTTATACAGCCTCTAAAGCTTTATTATGAAAGGAAACTAGAAAATGAATTGTAAGTTGAGGTAAACTAATATTATTAACCATTCATCATTAAGCATAAATACAGGTCACTAGAGAGCCAAAAAGAAACATCTTCTATGAACAAATTAGACATGAGTAAACCAGAGAGAAAAAGCTTTACAGAAGAGGTGCTTTTTTTTTTTTTTCATTTAAAGGAGATTAAAGGAATACTTTTGGCAGACAAGCGAGATGAGGGAAGAAAATGGGCAAGCTTTCTGCCATATGAAACTATATTCTGCATTTATTTCTCTGAAAGAAATAGCTTAGTTGTTTTTCCAAGAAACTAGCTGTTACAGTACATATCGACTGACTTTATGGGTCATAAAACTGAGAAGATTACCTGTCAAAAATTTGACAATACCATGTAAACAAACTCAACATCAAGACATTCTTATGGTACTGTACAAAGTTATAAAGTTATAAACTTACATCAGTGGACATTGATTACTACTTAACAGTTTGAAATTCCACCTGCCAACATGCCCTGATAGTAATCCCATGTTATGAGGAGTCTGACTTGCCAGCTGAGATTCTTTGTTGTCAAAACAGAATTCATTTAATATACTTCTAATGCTCTTACTGTGCAATGTTTTCAGGGGAGTTTATATACTGCACCTTTAATTTCAGTAACTGATTTTCAATCTGTGCTGTTTCCAGTTGTTTTTGCTTCTCTCTCAGCTTTTCCATAGATTGCTCATGTGTGTGTTTTAAATTCCTTATTTGTTCCCTTATATCAGAGTTCTCCAAAGTAACATCCACCAGAGTTTTCTGAAACAAAGAGGCAAACCACATATTAAGATTCAGAAATAATTCAGTGAGCTAACATAGTCAAGAAAGTGTAGAACAGGAAAAAAAAAAAAAAAAAGAAAACCAAAAAACCAACCCACAAATATTTAAGGCAATCCTGATTTGTCAATGTAGTGTGAACAGTGTTGCAAGTTTTAACATTTAAAATTGTTTGTTGTTGTTTTTGGTTTGCTAGAGGGTGTTTCCATAAGGAACATACTCACTGAAATCAAGTCCTGGAACACGACAAAAAGAGGAAGGAATATGGATACATTTAAGTACAAATATTACTCCCAGTAATCTTCCTTTCTTCTCTCCAAGGGCCATATATATAAATATATATATTTTACATATATATGTACGAAAGTGAAAATAACTATGACATACAAGAAAGCAGGAACTTTTTGAGTTTAGATGCATGGGAATTTGGAATCCTTTAAAACAGAAAATACATCCCCCCATTCTCCCTCCCCCAAAATTTCACAACTATGTAAAGCCTCACAGGTATTTAGCATCCACACATGCCACTTCCATCTCTATTAAATAGCAAAGGTAGGAGAGCCAGGATGTGCTCTGCTTTGCACAACACAGAACAAATCACATTTTTACCTTAAGATATTTTGTAGAGACATGACTAGTGGCATTAGTCTGCAGCAGATTAGTATCTCTTGATTGTACAGTCTTTTAATGTTGGTTACAAAACAGTCGCTGTATTCTTTTCCTTAGTGTCACAAATTAGCTGCCTCAGATATCCAAGACAATACTTTATGGCTTGTTTAGTGTTAGAAACTATTTTTGTTATTCATGTTTAACATATGCTTTTAAATCCATGTCAGAAAAGGAAGTTGTCAGCTGTGAAACAGCTGTTAAAATGTACCTGCAAGTCTATTGATGCTGATGTCAAGGAGCTGTTCATTTCACTAAAGCTATCTAAGGCTGCAGCCTGCACTCGCACATGATTCTCTAAGGATTCCTGATGAGCATTTGTCACCTGAGCAGGAAAAAAAAAGAAGTTTTATATAGAATAATGATCAAGTTTACCTATTCTCTCAAAGGGACCTACAGAATAGATAGATCCCATGGCTAATTTTCACAGTACTAGGATGCTTAAAATATATAGACCCCAAACCACATGCCTGTACCTCAAAAACAAACAAGCAAAATATATAATTCAAATATGCTAACAGAAGTGAACATAAAGTGAAAGTGGCTGTCTGCTGTTGAACAGTAATCAGCGTAAAACCTTTTCTGAAAGGACAAGAGGACATTTGACAAATGCCTATTCAGAAAGATGATATGCATAGAGTGGGTAGGTTGCTGGTGAAAATCAGAAGAATGCAAGAAATGAAGAAATCTAGAAAGGTTTGGGTGAAAGGTAGAATAGCCTTAATTGAGAAGGAAGTGACAGAGTATGTAAAGAAGCAACATCAAGAGCACCAAAGAATCAAGCAGAACGAAGCAGGCAGGAAAAGTCAGCAGGGAACTATGTTGTGTGAAGATCTGTCTTTTGTTGTGCACATACATACACACACTTGCATGCTTAAAACTTGAGGAAATAAAAGCATAAAATGACACCATTGAAGAGGTGACAGAAACCCAAACTGTAGAAATGATCAGGAACCATTTAGTAATAAAGAAGAAAATTGTTACTAATGGAAGCCAGCCCAACTTGGATTTATGTCATGGACCAGACAGATGTGTTTCTTGTTAAAGCAAAAGAGCACCACTGATCGATACGAAGATCAATTAGTGTTTAGTAACAAAGTTATAAATAGATCAGGTCAGGCCAGGGAGCAGAAGTTATTTAGTTACTGCTAATTCTATACAAATGTGTGCTCAGTTAAAAACAAATGAAAACAGAAATGCTTTGGATAAATTAAAAAAATTACAAGATAAGAACTTTTGTGAAGAAACTTACTGCCCAAGGGAGAGTATTTGAAGTACAAACTTCAAACTAACTTAATGAACAAAAAGTAGTCCTTGAAACTGATGGGGAAAAAAAGCATAGTGATTCGAAGCTGAAGCTAAGAGTGTGGAAAGGATTTTAAGTAGGATCCTCAAACAGCATGGAAGGTGGCAGTCATGTAGAAAACAAACAAAACCAAACAAATTTTAAAAAGCATATGTTATTAGATAGAAGAACACCTGTGCTTTTTTTTTTTTTTTTCAGGCACTCTCAATTATTAAGAAAGTATGTGTGTGTGAGGAAGGATGTCTCAGTGTGCCATTGACTTCAGAAAGAATCCTTCATAAAATGTTTATTTGCTTCGGAATTAGAGATTCTGTCAGAAGTGGTCAGAAACTATTAAGAGAGATTTTCGGACTCATGAAGGATTTCTACTGGTCCAGTGGAGGATCTGGAAGCATAGAATATCATCACTGCTGTTCAGTAAGGATCAACCAGAGAGAAGGCAAAGCTGCATCTAAGCCAGTGTTTGCCTACGTGGTACTGGATGGGGGCTGCATATCGTCAGCATCACAAAGGCTATTTAATTTGTTTCACAAAAATTCAGTTCTTCCCTCCCTCCTCTCAAGTTGGTGTGATTTTAAAAAATTTTTAATTTTTATACTACTTGACACATAATTTTGTTCTGTGCTCTGATCTTATATATAAACTGACAGTCTTCAAATGAGGAGGTAAGAAAGGCACAGAGTCCCACATTTTTGAAGTTAAATATGTTTAATTATCAAAGCTTCCTCTGAACCAAAGCTGTGAATAACAGTACTGAATATAAAATCCACAGCAGGTTGTCAGTGATTGTTGGACCAAAGAACTCAGCAGTTTAAGACAAAAGGTAAATCTACAGACTGCAGCAGGTCTTACTGAAAAAGCACAAAGAAAGAGTTCATCAAATGACCACCAAAAGGTTCATTAAGAACCACAAGGTAAGTCATGTTAGGACTGTCATGCATTAAAGAATGCTGCTACTTCTTTTATTATCATATTTAAACATTACAGTCACTAAAACAGAGCAGTCTGATGAAACCACAACTCTATGTTGCACTGATCACTCCTAATTATATAGTCAATATTTTTTTTCATTTCATATGGCAGCTCAGTGCTACAAAGATCTCCAATAATTCCCAGATTGTCTAGAATGAACACGCACCCAGGCAATGCTATCAAGATTATCTTTCATTTCCAATAACCAGGCAACTAATTTCATATACAAAAGCATCCCTGTCTTACTTTACCTTCCTGGAGGGAAAAGGTAAATAGATAGCACAGGGACAAGTTATTGTCATATACTTTCCCTACAATTGAATGCATACTTACTTTCAGTTCATTCGTAAGCTGCTGTATTTTTCGTTTCATTTCATCATACTCCCCATACATTTTCTTTCTTACTTTTTCCAGAGTTGCTCTCACCTGGTGTTAGAAAAATCACATGCCTTTATCAACCAGACTTATTGATGACACTGTTTGTACTGGGACACAGTATTTTGTTTCTGTGTTCTTTAGTGTTACTTTTAGAATTGCCCTTTATTAATTAATTAAAACTTTTTGTCAACAATAGTTCACTCTTAAGACTAGAACTTAATTCTTAAGAGCTGTCCACACAGAGATGATATAAACAAAAATGTGAGCAATTCTAAAATTCTCTGTACACTTAAACACTAGTAAATTAATAATTTAAATAACAAATTTCAATTAAACTTTCCAGAAGACTAACTTATTTAGTTTATTAGTTGAATGAAAATTAACTTGAACATACAATGTTTTCTTTCTAAGAAAAGCATCCAATATGGATTATGAAATCCATATTCATACATTAATTCTGTTACAGCATTTAATTAAGTTTTCACCAAGTGTCCTTTGAAAATAAACCCTTTAGTTTCACTGAATTTGGACTTCCAGGCTCATATCTAGTTAAATAATGTATTAATTACCAATGTAATTACAAATCTGAAGAATAGAGTACCCAATCTGACCTTGTTTAATACCTATGGATGTAAGCTATACTTTGCCTTTCTAAAAAAAAAATAAAAATAAATAAAAATAAAATTAAAAAATAAAAGAAAGGAAAAAGGGAAAGAAAAAAAAAAAAAAAGGTATGTTAAAAGCCAGCTTGGGTTTGCATGCCATTGAGAAACATGCAAAGAACCAAATTTTCTCAAGAGCACACATTGTAAACCCTCATTAAATGTTTGCCTACAGTTTATCTTCCAGCTACGTAGCTCAAATTCTTTTTCTTCCCCTCCCCTCAGCTGAACACACACTGGTTGCAGATTATCTAGGGCAGTCAGCTTACCTTGCATCTGCATAGCTGAAGTGGGGCTTGGGAAGGAAGAAGGGGAAAGCATTAAAAGGGGGAATTTTCTGGGAGTTCTGCAACATATGCAGTCCCAGAAAGAGGACACTGGCCACCAAACCTACATAAGGAGTGGATTCAACCTATCCCAGACTGCATGTTTCCTTTGTGATGAGAAACACGGAAGGAAGCTGACTCCTGCACTTCTGAAGGAAGCACTGTCTCTACTCACACACATGCACCTGCCCACACACACACTTGCAAGGTGCAAGTTTGACACCGGTACAGGAAAAAGAAGCATCAGTAGTTCAGAACATGGCCTTCCATTTCCGGGCTAAGTCAGAATATGTGGCACAAGCTGAGGGCTCTGCTTATAAAGATGAAACTTATCTGGCAGGCCAAAGTTCACAACTAGCATGGTTGGTTCACAGCCTCCACTTCTTCAAGGGTTTTACCCTTTTTATAACCAAGTACCAGTGCAAAACATGCTATCAGTCTGGACTGACGTTTCCCACTTTGCCACAAGCCAACAGAGAGCAGAGAAGTGCAGGGACATGCTCCCAGTTCAAGCAATCTGAATCAGGTACCAGAAGCAGTGCAGCCTGTGCTGTGTACCAGTTCATCCATTCCCTGACAGCACTTCAGATAAACTGCACAGGCAGGAAAACAGCAGCTCATGTTCCTTGCCTGCGTAACAGTAGCAACAGACCCTAAATGGCGAGTGCAGGTACTGGTGTTAAACACTGGGAGCTTGAAATCTGTGAGTAATAAAGGAGAAAAACAAGTGCTGATAACTGGAGACCAGGCAGATGCTAAGAGTACACATAATTACAGTCTCCTAGACTGCTGGCTTGACACAGTGTTCCTCCCTTTTATATCAACACAGTTCTCCTGCACTTGAGTCATTGTAAGATGATAACCATTGACCAACAGCTTCCTGGGTGGCAAAGGAGGATGGAAAGAGGTCAAATTATTCACTCTGGGCTAATTAGAAGGTTATTGCCAAAGCCTGAGAGACAAGGACTGACAGGCAAAGAGATGGTGAGTCTTGAGCACAAAAACTAGCAGCATCAGAAATTCATTTTATTCTTTCAGTACAGTTTTTGCCAATTATGCTAAATGAGCATGCACAAAGAAAGTAGTACAAAGTCATCTTATTAGGCTGACTATTTTAAGGCTGCCCCAAGACATACCCAAGTGATTTTACTATATCACCTAATTTGGGAGCCTTTTCAAAACTGTGATGGAGGAGGGGGAAGCAGAAGATAAGAGAGAGTTCATCCTTTCATGCTTACAAAGTTTATCCTGCATAACTTTGAAATTATGAACGTTTCAGAATGGGAACCTTAAAATCAGTTAGGCAGCTTGCTTGTCCAGCCATAAGCCCCCCCAACAATCACTAAGCATTACAGATTATCATCTGGCACAGAGGGTGTGAGCTTCAACCATGTAGCTTTTAGGTACTTCAGTTTTTTTCAACTCAAGAAATAACAAGGCAAACCATTAGCTTCAGAATGGGTTCTCTATTCAAATTTGAGGTTATTTGGTGTGACATCAGTCATCCCGCATACACTCACAGCTCTACAGAAATATATGGAAGGTATATCTCACAAATTCTGAAGGTGAAAGCATAACTCACTTCTTTAATGTAATTCATCTCCTCTTTCAGCTGATCAGCTGACCAGCCATAAACCACCATTTCTCTCTTATGGTTGTTGTCAGTCCGGTGCACAACGCCATACACCATTCCATGAGAGAGCTTCCCTGGAGACATGCCATTTGGTACATGGTAGAGCTCCTTAAAAACAAATCATATTTTATTTCAAACAAGTTCTAGAATGATTTAAAAATTGAAGGCAGGAACATAAGACAAGCAACTATAGTGAAAGAACAGCAGTACCTAAGAATACTAGATCCCAAATACCTGTGGACCAAATTATCAACCTTCATATTTTGGGATGATCAGTGATTTCTATAATCAGCTTAGATGTCAATTCTCCACTAGCTTTAATGAAAATGGTATGTGTACAGCTAAGAGCAACAGATGGATTATTGTAAGGAGAGAGACATGAGAAAGAATGTCTTTCTGGCTTATATGGTACTTTTCTGCATTCTTCCAGAGGACTATTTGCTCTTACAGTTTCCTTTTGAATTCTTGCAAACACAAAAATTCCTCCATCCTGTCCCTTGCAAAGTCTGTGCTGTGCAAAACATAAAAATTCACAAGTTTAATCTAAATGTTTCAACAGTTCTCAGAAGAAAATGAAACTGAAACTTCAAAGCTCTATGTGAGAGTTCAGAAAATACCATTTTATCTTGTAGATAAAGAGGCAATAATCTTAGTTTTCATTTTAGGATAAACACCTCCAAAACAATCAAAAGTCCATCTCAGTCTGTAATTATAGAACATGTACAACTGATGTTATAAGAGCCAAAGCAGTGCTATGAAACAGCATTCATGTGAGTGTTTCAGTGTTATGAACTAGTATAGAAGGCCTTGATAGGAAAGTGAAGTGGCAGCTTTAGTGCTTGTGTTTGATATTTTAGCAATCTGCAGAAATTTCTAGAAGCATATTTGTAATAAACTTATGTCTTATTTTAAAGTGCTTTTTGCAACAGACTCCACTTAAACATCACGTCAATATGCCTTGTAAGAAAAACACGTATACAAACAGTGGGAACCATTGCCCTCGAATATAAATATCTGCAAGGTCAGAAGTAGCCACCCACACCGACTACGCACCTGGCCTCCCTTCTGATAAACCCAGAGAAACACACTCCTGCAGCAATTACCTGAAGTGAATCAGACTCCAGAAGTACTAATTTATATTCCTGAATACAAAGAATTTGAGAAACTAGCTCAGACAGACGTCCATGCTTTTAAAATGAGAAGAAAAAAAAAATCATATCGTTTAACTTTGAATATCTGCAAACTGAGATCCTAAAATGAGCAATTACTTGTGAGCATGAAGTTAGAAAGACAGTCTTGAAAGAAACAGCTGTTACTGAATAGTTTTGTGCATTGTCTTTCTTTTAAAAGCCAGTGATGGGGACAAATCACTCACAGGTAACTTCACTGAACTTCCTTTTGCACACCAAATTTACTAAGATGTCAATAGATATGAGATTACTTTTGAAAATATTTGAGTTTGTTTTGTTATTCAGTAATGACACAGTATTGAAACTCACAGACTTTTGAGGCTCCTTATAACATTAGTAGCCTAAACAGTATCTAAATACTCTCCTCCATATCAGAGGCAGAAAGAGGTGAAACTTATTAGTTTACATCCACATGCATCCCAGCAAGTGTTTAGTTCTTACCACAACAGGTGATGGTAGTAACTGTAGTCTAATGCAATAGCTCTTTCTGTTTTTGGCAGCCAAACTTACACAATTACAGTGACAACATAATAATAAATATTTCTTTGGGTAGGGTGAAAATGAACAGGATAATTTATTTGTGCTAAAAGTAATGAGTAAAAATACAAATCTGTTGTATATACTATAGAATAAAATAGTGTCCCTCCTGCACTGACACTGCCTAATGACACTAACATGGCTTTACTGTATCATTACTGGCTTAATCATTTTGCTGAAGCTCTGTGTGCACGCAGGGCTGGGAGGGGAACAATCCTGACACCAGATGAAGACAGTTTCAACCATTTAATAGAAAAATATTGGTCAACTAGCCCTATCTATACCAGATATTATTTTGCATGTTGAAAACGCCAAGTTACATAGTTATGATTTGCTTGTTTTTCTCTTCTCTTTAATGCATACTGACAAAAATCCTGCACCTGATTACTTGAGAAATAAATACAGGAACTAGATGGGGATATGACTCAAAACTTTTGCATCTGTTTACTTCCAGGGTTGTATAGTTGCTTTGGTAGTTTCATTTCAGCTCCTCCCCCGCATCTGGATGAAGGGATTAAATACAAGTTTCCATCTTCCAGATAACAAGATGAATAATTGCTTTGATTGTTTAGAGGTTACTAAGGCCCCAGACATTGAATTCATAAATCCATAACCTTTACCCACTCTAATCTATATTTTATGAAGTGAACAGCAACTACTAAGATCTTTTGTGCCTCGGAAATATTAGCAGGATTGTTTAAAGTTCTGTTTGCAGAATTCTGTACGGAGATCGTGATCAAGTTCCTTATTTTTAGAACATTACAAACACATTTCCAAGGAATGCTTTACAAGACTCACGCCTCTCTAGCAAAGGAAGATAGATTCAGACCATTGGTTTTGCAGCAAGGGAATCAATCATCCATGACACTTCAATATTTCACAGATGAACAGATTTAAATTTACATCATAATAGGCACATAATGAGCACCATAAGTATGCATAAAGCCAGACTGGTCACACTTCTCCAGCAATGATGACACAATTGTCTGTCATCCATATTTGCACAAGCCTCCCAAGATTTCTTTGTCACTTCTCTTTCAAAAGATTAAAGGAATCTCCATCATCTGTTGAGAGTTCCAGTTCTGCCATGTGCTACTTACAATACAGGATACTGCTTTTACTTCTCATTGTTTTGCTCTGTCTTCCATATATATCCACTCTGAAAATTCAATTTTCTGACAAGATTCTCACCCCTTTCCTTTCTGAGGCATCTCAGTGATGATAACAGAATAAGTAAGTACTATAAAATTAACCAGAAGACTAGGTGAAGCTGGAAGGTTTCTTTAGATTAGAGAAGCATTGTTTTTAAGGTCAAATTATCAGCCAAATCTAGAGCATTTTTTTCACTCCCAACTGCCTGTGCACTTCCAGCACTGGAACAATACCTCTTCCAAGTACGGTTTGTTGCTGCAAAATTTTCTTGAAACCCCTTATCTGAAAAGGCTGGCTAACCTTAAGAAACTCATGAATATTTCTTTGTGGCTACAGTCAGTTATATGACAACTCAAGTTAACCACAACACATTATGCTGATGTACACGAAGGCAGCTTCCAGGAACGTGCTTCATCTAAGCTGTAGCAACAGTCATGTTGCAGTTGGTGTGATCGCACAACATATCCTAAAGAAAAGCTGACTGTGTTTACTTAATAAATATTTAATACAGAAGACGACACCCCAAGGTTGCAAAAGTCTTAATAATTGTCATGCATCCTGTTTATATCTGTCCAAGCACATAGCACAAGCAAGGTCTGAAGCCAGTATAAACTCTGAAACGAGTACAAACTCATATTTAAATGTGATTTGTGAGCTGCTTTTCATACTGCCCATGGTTTATCAGTATTATGTAAAGGTGGAAAATATGCTAAGACATAGAACACAAGTGTTCTTAAACTCATGACACTAAATAAGAAGCATCACTTAACACATTTCCACTTCTAAGCTCTTTGAAATATTGTAGAATTATGTGCCACATCTAATCAAATAAAACTGTTTCTGTAATGCCACTCTTTATACGTTAAGAAAGACAAATACACTAGCTACCAGAAGTAGCTACCACTGGAATTATTTCTGAGGCTTTCATTTAATACTGGTTTTAATAAGGAGCTGCTTAAATAGCACATAAAAAACAGAATTAGTGCTGGAGAGGCTGAGAAACAGTAACAGCAGCCACCTGTAGCAGGTGAACCACATTCGTTATGTCACAACTCCTGCTATGCTGGTGGGAGTGGGCTGGCAGCCACAGATCAGCAGAGAAAATAGGCGCTGTCCTAGATTCAAAGTGCACAACAGCCTCATATTCATTGCACTCATGTTCCTTGATCCAGGTCTGACATGAGTTTCTCTTGATTATCTGCATCACACTGTGGCGAAAATTCCACTCCTGGCTTCTGTATAGCCTACATTTTTGCTGTGGGAAAAATGTTTGCTCTGCTTTTGTATTTCTGCTCAAGAAGCAATAAGGATTTCATCTCTAGGATGTGAATAATTTAAAAATGTAAATTAAAGAGTTAGAGGATATACAAAGCAAAAGTATTGGTTGAAGGTTAAGCCTGAATGCTGTTCAAACTCTATTGAAAGCCTCAAAACCAGTAAAATAAGACAAATTTATAAAGCATTATCTCATTTTCATTCTCTGTCCACTTGCTCAAAGGAAAAAAAGAAAAAATCTCCATATATATCTCAATATTCTACCCTCAAATATCTAGCTGCAGCTTCCAATGACACTTCCAAATTTAGCCATGACAGTGAGGAAAGGGCCTGACTGATAAAAATAAGCCCAAGCCCAAACAGAGACAATACAACTGTTCAGTAGCATTTTATTATGCAGGGCATGGCAGGCTTCAGAACACACAGATACTGCTTATGATCTGACCAGCACAGTAATCCTTTGTACCTCATGGTGAAGTAAACAGCCTCATACTACTTTCATTTATTGCCTATCAGTAACAGGAGCAATGGAACAAAATTATGGTAGTTGCAGACACTCTCAGCCTGAAGTGCTAACAATTCAGATATTTAGCTTTTTGCCAATGAAAGAAACCACCCAATCAACTTGTATTTGTGTCTTCAGTTCTCACATGTTTTTTTCATCACAGGCTAAACAGGAATACAGACATGCAGCCTGACACACGCAGCACAAGTTCTCTCCCTTCAGTTTTTGAAATCATCTGACTGGGTACCATCTTTTACAAAAGTCAGGCAGAGGCCATCCTCTTGCCCTTAATGCCTGCAGTAATTCTCTTGTAACAAAACTGCCAGCTCTGCCATTTTGTTCTATTTTTCACACTGGCTCATTTTTATTCCATATCAGAATGGCAATAAATTAATCAGCCTAGAAACATAATGCACTGACAGAGATTTAATGAAATACGGCATTATATTTTCTGCTAAAATTGGACTGCAGTGAAAAAATCTAAGTTACCATCTATTGACATAACCAATAAAGCATCAGTTCTGAACTGTCAGTGAGCTCTAGGGCAAGATGCTAGCAGGTTCAGTGCCAGCAGTGGCTCCTGTACAGCTGATTTTGCAGCTGCTACACTTTACAACAGTATTCAGTTCCAGAGAACACACAAAATAAAGAAATAACCAGCAAGCCATCGCTATGTCACATCAGGGCAGCTCAAAATCACCTCCTTCTAATGAAAGATTAGAAAGAGAAGATTACAACTAAATGTCACGCCATGGTGTATTTATAGTTTTCTGGCATTCCCTTTGACACAGCAAGCTCTTATGCTCTCCTCCCTCACTTCTTGTCTGCCCAAAGAGGAGACAGCCATGCAGCCATGCTCAGATGACCCAATCTGCTGCAACTCTTCAGCAAACACTGCACAAATTCTCTGGTTACCCTCGCAGTTTATTTGTGTAAGTCAACAGTTGTACTACTTAGATTTTTTTTTCCCAAATGCTCTTCTTTGCACACAACATTAAAGACAGCACAGAACTCTAACTTTCAAGTCCTGCTGTCGCATTTGATTCTTGGTGAAGCTGTGTGTTTTGACACTAAATTGCAGAGTGTAAGGCAGAAAGGTGAGCGCTTCTCTAATTTCTCTCTATTAGCATTATCTCCAAAAGGGAAATGCAGCTCTTATAAGACCATATGAGAATTATGTAACATTTGTAAAATTTCTTATTCTCAATGTGATGTATGGAATTTCATTAACACTGACTGAGCTGAATATGGGTGGATCAGCAAAGATAACTGATCACTACTCTCAGAATTATTTGGTGTAGGCTTTTTTGTTGGTTTTGGTTTGGTTTGGTTTGGTTTTTTAAAGCTTACAGTAAGATAAAACTATCAGAGTATGACAAGTCAAGAATCTTGTGTGTACTATAAGTTACTGTGTAACTAAATCAAATATTCAAAGCAATATATTACATAGTCAGTATAAATCTACAGGTAATAAATTCCTGTCTTGCTTTAGAGGCATGAGAAAAAAAACAGTTCATGTTCAGTGATTTTTTTTTTTTTGTAGTTGCTTCACATTCAGTGTATTTTTTTGAATTACACAAAAAAAGTAAAACAAGTAAATGACACAATTACTCTGTTGTTCTTCTTTAATTGCCAAGACACTGAACAATTACAGCCCAACCAGTTCTAAAGATACACTTTCTAAAAGTGTACAATATAGCTCTCATTAAATACAAAGCCTGGCAGAGAAAAAGAAGTCACATAAGGAAGTGACCAAGAAGCCCTGCTCACTGGCACTTCTTTCTCATTATTACACTACTCAGCATAGTAAAATGAGTAAGCCATGAGTCAATAACTGTCCTCCTCAAAAACAAACTTATAGTACTCTTAGGGCAATAGGTCCATATGTGTCAGCTGGACTGGGGATTTCTTCAATCAGATACAAACTGACAGAACTCTAAGCAGTGGGTGATAGTACTTTCATTGCTACAACTAAACACCTTCTGTACACATTCAATTATTACAGTGTACTGGCCCCAAAATCAGCTGATGCAGAATACTTCCAAGTCTCAGGCAAACCAATTCACACACACAGCAAAGGCTCATTTCTCACACTCTTAAGCCTATATGAAACATAAAATTCCCCACTTCAGGTGAGGATCGAGACTTTGCTTAATGAAAGACACTGCTGCTTATAGCAATCCAGCATATAGATTTTAAATAATCAAGTTCTAAAAATACTTTAGTCACACATTGCTGTCAATCTCTGTGCTGTTTGTCTACTACTACTCTTCCACTTTGCATGATGTTTTGCTGTTCCCAACACCAGAGCTCAGGCTCAAAGTTTACAGCTGACTTGCTCAGCATCCATATGCTGTTCAGTCTTCCAAGATGATCCAGTTACCAAAACAACTAAAATCAGCTTCCACAGATGCCAGTATTTACTCCTTGTTTGTACAGCATTTGATTAGAATTGCTAAAACTTACATGTTTCTTTCTTTCAGGTTCTTTTGCTCCCTGCTCAGGCTGTGAGACTTCATCAGGTGGTACTGTTAAACGTAGTCTGCAAACATTCATCTGAAAGAAAAACAGAAGTTTGCTTTCAGATTCAAGCGCTACAAAAATTAATTTAGATAACTTGCTTTGCAAAATGAATTGTGCTAACATTCAAGTTTTCATTCATTATTTTCTACTTACATCCAATCAGCTGACAAAAAAGTAAGCTATTTGTAAAAGGCTAGAGGGTTTTTTAGCTGGCAAGAAATAATTCAAGGGCATCCATAATTACATACCTGAAATAGCAACAAACAAACAAACAAAAAACCACAAACCTTTTCAATTAACAACATGTTCTTACATACTTACAAATGACATTGAAAGCTCAGATATCAGAACGTGAACGTAATTTCCTAGTTTCTCAGCTTTGTTTGCAGATTTGGCATACTTCAGTCTTCAAAAGGGAGTATTTTGAAACACAAAGGTTATTCTGGAGTGAATATCCCTTTTTTGTTCAGTATTTGATAAGAGTACAGAAATTCCACAAAATTCTAACAGAAACATTATTGAAATGTTATACAGAAAATTGCAAAATTGCTTGTAAAAGAAAAGCCTCAGAATTATTCACAGAAATTTTAAGAAAAAGGCCAGGGGGGCTGATAGTTTTTTACCCCCTATCACTCCTGGCCATGCTTTTGGCTGAGATCTTTGCTGCAACAGTATTTTTAAAGAATCATTTCTCATACAAGAAACTTGGTTACAAACATTAGTCTTATCTGTACACGAGACTTCTTTGTAGAAAACAATCCTAAGTCCTAAACTGAGCAAATGATGAAATGAGAATTTCTTGTCTAAATTCAAAGCTTCACAAAATATTCCTGTGAAATCTCAGCTATCTGTTGACAAAAATGACTCTAAGCTGTTCTTCAAACAGCTAAGGCACCTCTTTCATGGTTACTGTGGGCCATCACCAGTGTTGTATAGTCCAGTGTCTTTTCTGATCCAGATGTCTTCAGTTTCTCCTAAATGCCTATATCCAGCCATGCAGAATCATAGAATGGCTTGAGCTGGATGGACCTTAGAAGCTAAATTCCAAACTCTCTTTTTGTGCAGAGTTGCCACCCACCAGATATTTGGGCTGCTCAAGGTCCCATCCAACCTGGTCTTGAATGCTGCCACGGATGGAGCACTAACAACTTCTGTTCCACTGCCTCACCACTCTGAGTAAGGAATTTATTCCTAACATCTAACTAAATTTCCCCTTTTATTTTAAAACCATTTCCCTTTTCCTAACACTATATGGCCATGTGAAAATTTGGTCCTCCTCCTGTTTATAAGTTCCCTTCAACTACTGCAAGGTTGCAATAATGTCTCCCCTGAGCCTTCTCTTCTCCAAGTTAAACAAGGCCAAGTCCCTCAAACTTTCTTCACAGGACAGTTGTCCTTTGATCACCTTGGTGGCCCTCCTGCCTCAACAGCTCCCCATCTTTCTCATACTGGGTGCCTCAGACCCGGATGCAGTACTCCAAACGGGGCCTCAGAAGAGCAGAGGAGACAGGAACAATCAACTCCTTCTTCCCGCTTGTTAGTCAGCAGCCTGGGATACAGTCGGCCTTCTAGGCTGCAAGAGCACACTGCTGGCTCATGTCCAGCTTTTCTTCTATCAGGACCTCCAAGTCCTTCTCCGCAGAGCTTCTCTCATTAAGTTCTTCTCCCAGACTATACACATATCTGGGATTGCCCTGACCCAAGTGCAGCACCTTGCACTTAGCTTTCTTGAATCTCACTAGGTTCATATGGACCCATCTTTCAAGCCTGTTCAGGTGTCTCTAGGTGGCATCCCTTCCTTCTATTGTGTCAAATGCACCACTCAGCTTGGTGTCACCCACAAACTTGCTGAGGGCACTCTTGATCCCACTATGTCTATGTTGTTGATGAAGATACTGAAGAGCACCAGTCCCAAGACAAACATCTGGGGGCCACCACTCATCTCCAGCCTTCAGCTGGCCATAGAGCAATTGACCACAACTCTCTGTCTGCAACCATCCACCAAGCTCTACTGAATAGTCCAGCTTTCAAATCCATATCTCTCATTTAGAGATAGGGATGTGGTGTGGAATCATGCCAAAAGCAATACACATTCTTGCTCTTCGAAGTACAGCTTTCCATCAGTCTTGCCCAAGAAAGATCACAGTTCATGTCTTGATCATTATAGCATTTCCTTTTGCTTCAAAAATCAACAATCATGCTCTATTTGCTGGTATTTACAGCATAGCAGCAAAATACTACTCATAGACTCCAAATTTCACCATTTCAACATCAAGTTCTTCAAATAGTCTCTCATATCAAATAAGTCTTCACTTTCGAGACTCTTCGAAATGGAATCTCTCCATAGCACCACTATTCAGAATTTCTGTAACAGAGATTCTCATTCTCCCTTCTTCCAAACAATTGACCCTTTTCAAGTTTTAAAACTAGAAGCATTCATTTTTTCTTCTTCCCAAGCAAAAAGATTAGAAGAACTATCTGCAAATATCTGCATCAACTCCAGACTTTCTTTAAATCCCATCAAGACGACCAATCAACACTGAGAGAACACCAACTATATTACAAAATGCCACTTTCTGCTGCCTTCCATCTTCTTTTAAGTCTCTTTGGTCTGCAGTGCCTTCTATCAATAAGAAAAATGTTCTGAGATAATGTTTATGTAAAACGTGTGATCCATATTTGTATTATAAAACGGGGGAAAAGTGCGCATAACAAATTCAAGCTAAAGTACAACCTACTATTTAGATACATCTTGGAGGGTACCTTCTGTGAAATGAGCTCTTACTGTTATTTCATCATTTAGCCATATGCTATCAGCTCAAGAACAAAAAGCCACAGAGAAAGTGATAGAAGAAAGAAAGTTCAGCACAAAAGTGGGTTATGTTTCAATATTTCCTAGATAATTCTGAAACAATGAAACAGGTTTGAAAAAGATGGGTCCTTGCACATTGGCTTTAGACTCTGGTTGACTGCTATCTGTGTTCTCCTGAAAACACCAGACTCTTCCCTTACACTGCAGAAGCTGTCAGTCCTTTCTGCTTACAAGTTATCAAGATACAATAATAATAAATTCCTCAGTGCTAGAGCTCACTTATTCATAAAGTAATTAATACTATGCTTTATCACCTATTTAATTTCCATTTCCCCCTGCTCTTTCTTCTCATTGGCTTAGCAAGGCTCTTTCCTCTAAAACAAGTGTGTTTACAACAAAAAGGGAAAGAAATACTGGCATTCATCCATGTAGTCAAACAAAGACCAGACGTGTAAATAGGAAATAGTACTGAGTTTGTGCTGTGCAGGAAGTGACAGATGAGGCCAACTTTTTCTTACAGGGGTTTCAAATGAGAGAAAATTAAGCTAAATCAAATAAAAAGACTCTTAGGAGAAAACATGACAAACACCTCAAAGAAACAGAAGCGCATACTAACGGGCAACTCAATGTCAGGTGAAATGGAGTTGTGTAAGTTTTTCTGAAGCTGGCAAATGGTTTGCTTGTCAGTCAGCAAAGGACTAGTTATAGCCAACACATTTATAGGTTCATGGTGCAGTGACTGTAAATAAGTAATTATGTGTATACCAGTTAGTGAATCATGGCTGCCTGTCACATTACAGCAGTGCATGTGTTACAAGGTTACTATGAAGAAAAATCAGAGAAACCCAGAAGGAAAGCAGGCAAGTTGTAACAAGTAGCTTGGAAATACAAATCAATAACAGTAATTTGTTGAGACTAAGAACAGTGTATAAAAGGTTGATAGTATTTAAACTATTTTTCTTGTTCTTTTTTTTTTTTTTTTTTTATACAATGTCTTCTCTATTAGCTCCCTAAACCACACTTTAATTTCTTTTCCACTTCCTTGTTTCCAAGTTAGCTCCAAACTACTGAGATACCTCAAATCACAACCATATTTTCAGCAGTATTTCTGACAAAAAATGAAGACATAATGCTTCACTTTGCTGCCTGCTGCACATAAATACCATTCAGAGGGTGGTATGAGCAGTCATCTGACAATTCCAGCCTTGAAGTCACACCCAGGGAGGCTTGTATCACAGTGGCAAAGTGCCATCCAGTTTTGAATTCCTTGCTGGGACAACCTCATACAGGCTGTACTCTTACCATTGTTTATAACAATTGCACTTCCGTAACATCTCTGGGGAAACAGCAGAAAATGTATAATGTAGCCACTCACTCCTATTCTTCCTGGACCACAGATGATGCATGCTACCTAATGACACGCCAGTATGTTAAAATTCACAAACACTACAGAGATTAGAAGGGAAAAAACAGCAGGCACCACTTTCCCTATAACCTTGAGAAGCAATCACGGATGCTCTCTTTGCCATGTACTGCTTCCTAAAGGAACAGCTGTCCCAGCCATTTGTAGGCAAGGTTACTTGACCAAATGAATGGGCAGGCTCATACAGAAATCACAGCCAGTCCTCTTCCAACAGCAAAACATGGCTGTAGTGATGCCCTAACATGGAAATGAAATCATAACAGGAAGAGTCTCAACTCTCTGCCAAACAGTGGCAAAATAATATGCAACCAAGGATGAAGCAGTAATTTCCAATTGAGAAACAATTGAGTTTTGTAGGGAGAAACCCAAGAGGGGAATGAAAGAGAATTCTACAAGCAGGAAAAGAAATATAATTTAATTTCCTTCAGTTGGCGATTGACAGTAAGAACACGTAATAAAACCTGAGGTAAAGATGTTGCTTCCACCATACTTTTATGTCATCAAAATAGTGATTTTATGAGTATAACTTTCAAAAAGGAATAGGTATGCAGGTATCAAGTTTCCCAGGCTATGAGATTTTAGTTTGGTTTGCAGCAAGTATAGCTTTGACAAGCCAACAATACACATAACCTTCTTTGTGCCAACATTTTATGCTCACTCCCAGATTTTGACACCAACAACCCACAAGCAGTATTTCCAGAGCTCATCTGACATCATTTGTAGAATGATTATGCTGACAGAAAAACAAAGGCTGATAAGTTCAACCTCCACAATACTAAACAGAAAAGTTTGCTGACTGCAATGGAAATTGACAGGTGAAGACAAGCTCTTCTACCAAATTTCTAAGAGGCTAAAGGGACAGCATAACTGAGAGCTACTGCAATACAGTAATTAAGAAAAAAGCCAATCTAGGTTAGTTAAAAATGTTAAGAATTTATGGCCCAGATCCACAATCCACACTCATGTTTACCATCCTACTCAAATCACTAGGGTGCAACTTAAGACAAAAACAGATGACAGATTCAGTTTGAGTAACATTCTTCAGACTCTTATTCCTCCTTTCTAAAAACAAGAAACATCCAGTAAGGGACTGACTGCAGCTAACTATGTACTGAAATAACTGTAGAGCTAGTACTAAAATAATGAGTAAAGGTCTGATAGAATAACCAAGGTTACTAGCATAGTAGTAGAAAAATACAAGCAACCAGCCTCAGTCTAAGACTTCTACAGTCCTTCACAGGGAAGATACGGTTCAGTTTTGATCTAGATTCAAATCTACTTTGGAGTTAACAAAAATCTAATTTTTCTGATCTTTTCAATGCCTCACAATTAAACAGTTTGGGATAATGTGTTTGTTGAGTAACTACCTGCTATCCAAACAGCTCAAGGGCCAAAAATTTCTCCCTTTGCCCAAGACCAGGTGTTACTTTCAGAGTTTCGAAGGTGAGAGCAAAAACGAAGCAGGTTTTAATTTCAGTCTCCCCTAAACATGCAAAGAAAGTACTTTCATTGGTCATTTATCTGGCCAGTTTTCTTCATTTATGAAATCTCCGCTATGAGATTCCCCACACCACCACAATTAAAAGGCACCTTTCCCATGACCACAGGCACACAGGAATGTGACACACATCTTCCATTTATTTTGCAGTTATTCTGTCTTCCTCCTCTCTTCTGACAACTCACGGTAAGAGACTTGCATTCTACTACAAAAGGAACTTTTTTGCTGTGGGAGAGCACAAGTTGTGTGTTACCATGTACAACATGTGTTAATTTGTCATTCTTCACTGGTTTTATAAGCACAAAAGTTTGGATCGACCGACCTATCTCAAAATATTTCGAGATTTGTTATGATCACACAAGTGTATTTCTTTGTATGGGTGCTCTTAGCATTTGATTGTTTTGATTTATTCCTTCATGTAAAACATGTCCCCTCAGTGATAACATCGTGGCCACTGCAGCACATAAGGGCTCTTTCAATCAGGGTGGCTACAGAGACATTGCTATCATACCTGCCAGAGTTCTAACAACTTTTAGGACACATTTTCCAGTGTGTTAATATAGCATGGTTCGCCTATGAAAATTAAAAAGTTTAAGAGGTCAGTAAGTTGTATTTCTACATCCATATTTTAAAAGAAATTATCACTGCCATGCAAGTCATTTTGGTAAGCTTCCCCATGAGGACAAGAGTCTCAGGGGAAGTTCTCGTTGTACATATCAGGAAAAAGTCTCCACCACAGCAAAGCTTCCTCAGGGCTGTCCAGAGAGCAGCCAGGAAGTAGCACTAACAAAAGCCCTGCAGGGCACCCCAAAGCTCTGCTTCTCCCAGCACCTACACAGACCTACTACACAGGTTCAAAGAGATGTTTTCACACACCGCACACTTCGCCTGAAAACACCAAAACTAAGCAAGCCCAAACGCGCTCCGCCAGCAATCTGAGCGAGAGGGGTCACACCGCCCCACGGCGCGGCCCGCGGGACCTCCCCGCCGCCCCCCCCTCCACTGCCCCGCGCACCTTCCGCCGGGCACGGCCGCCGTCGCCGGCCGTCCTCCTGGGGGTGGTGGCGGTGACCGTGAGCCCCGAGCTGTAGCGCAGCATCCCCGCGGGCCGCCGTGCTGGCGCTGACTGCGGCTCCCTCTGGCCGGCGGCGCCGCTCCGCCCCCGCGCACACACCGCGGGCGGCCGCAGGGGCCGGGCTGCGCAGCGGCTGCCCCGGCGGGGCGGGCCGGCGAGGGGAGAGCCCGGCGACCGTGCCGCGAAGGCGACCGAGAGCCTGGAGACGGGTGCGGCCGGGCAAAGTCACTGGGGACGCGCGGCTCCCGAGCAATTTGCCCTTGGGACGCCGCGGTCCCCGTGCCGCCGGAATTTTGGTGCACGTTGGGAACGGAGCTTGGAGAAGGCGGCCGAGAGGGTACGTGTGGCACCCAGCCACCTTCTGGGCTTGGAAAAAAGGAGCTGAGGCTCAGAAGAGGCCTCTCTGGTACACACTTCTGAGTGCTCTAATGGGATAGAGCTGGCACCGTCCCCCCCCCACCTCCTGCTGCAATTCCTGAGCCACTCTGGCCTGTCAGCTTATTAGTTGTGCTCCGGGAACACACAGCAGGCTGGGCAGAAAAGCCCCGACTGCAGGCAGCCTCAGGTGCGAGGCACGAGGCTGGGGCGACTCTGTGTGCAGGTGGTGGCACAAGCTTTCATGTTGAAGGTCCAGCAAGGAGGTGAGGCTGGCGCTGGAAATAGCTGGCACTGAGCATACATTCTTAGATTGCAGGTTTGGACTTCAACATTTCCTTCAGAAGATACTTGTCTCTTCCAGGACGTGGCTGAAGGGGAACACTGTAACCCTCCAGCACTATGCAGGCCCAGATGAGCACACACCACGTTCACCTGCATCCCTGCATCCCTCATAAGCAAGCAGCATGTTCCTGAGTAAACTAGAGACAACAAAAAGAAATGCTTAAGCACAAAACAAATTGCAGAAGAAATATGTATCCTTTGTCTCCATGTAAATACCTTTAAATAATTAAGACCACAAGAAAACACAGCTATAGCTACATGATGTCCTTGCCCATTACGATGTTAATGAGCACACTGCTGTGGCTATGAGCTGTTTGCTGGTTTGGAGAATGCTGAAGAAGAGGAAGTAATTTGCTACCTACTGAGGGACTGGTGCCTCACCCTCTGTGTGAAGTGTCTATTCTCTTCTGTTTCTCAGATCCCTGTCTCAAGACACTGAGCCATCAGGGCAAGATGCTGAGCTGTCAACATGACATGGATCTGAGGAAGAGAGGAAGAAAACATTGCCCAGGCCTGGAGGAGAGAAAAAAGGGTTGGTCTGCATTACTGTTCAGTCCTTCTTGTTGTTTTCCCAGCTTCTGTTCTTTTCTCTCTTGAGGAAGGCATATAGCCCAAGGCAAATGAGACAGAGCAACCACTTGTATTTGGACTTCTCTCAAGACTGACTGCATGTTATACCTGCTGTTCTGCCTGAAGATGCCCCAAGCCCACTATCAAATTTCCAAATGAATCATCCATCATCTTAACTCATGGCAATAATCCTGCTCTCAGAGGGGATTTCCTGGTGCGGAAAAGGTTTATATTCAACAACAGGGATATGGTTCCTCACATATCACTTAACTGTTGGGCTGTGCCTTAGCAGTGATCATTGGTTGTTCCTGGTCCTTCCGGTGAGCAGAGATGTCTCAACTTAGATGCTAGCATACAGCCTTTGTGTGGTTACAGCTGCCAACATCACATACCTGTGAGATTCTCCTGGTCAGTGAGAAGCTGTGCCTTCAGGACTTCTCTCTTCTCTGGAGAAAGGCATGCACAAAAGGCTGTAGTCACTGCAAGGCACAGACAGAAGAACTGCTTTTCCAAGGGCAGGCACAGAAACCAAACTTGTGCCACACTCTGGTAAAGGACCTCCTTTCCGTGGCCTACAGTATGACAAAGTCACAAAGGTACAATAGTTGGGTCCCTGGGAGAGTTTGCATGACTGACTTTGAGAATTATGATAAATTTGATGGAAATCTTTTTTTGTGTGTGGATGGAGGAAATACCTGTCCATAAGTAATACAACTACTACAAATGCAGTTTTCTATGTTTTGTCTGTATTACGAAGGGCCCTCCTCATTTCTTGGAATATAATGGCAAGACATGTTTATCTGATACAGCAATCTCAACAGAAACATCTACTTCTGGGCACTTTCTCGAATTAAAATTGTCCTAGAAGGAATAACCTGTAAGCATACTTAGTCTGTTTTTTTTTGGTTTTGTTTTCGTTTGTCTACTCTATAAACCATCTCCTTTCCTTTCCCCTAGTCAGCAAACTGCAGCATTCAACTTGCTTTCCCCTTTGTTAGTTGTCTGTGAATCCTTTAAAGTTTCTTCAGCTGTTCTGCAGGCTGTGAGGTTCTATGTGCATAGTAAACATCTGAAAATGCCTAATAATCTCTAAGCTCTACCAAGGCTGAAAAGAATGTGTAAAAGAAAGAATCAAAAACAAAACAAAACAAAAAAATCCACAGAACCCCAGAACCAACCAACCAATGAACCAACCAACCAACCAAACAAACAAAAAAACCCTTCTCTTTGTATGAAAGCAATATTTGGAATAATAACTTTTTCTCCCAACCACAGCTCTGACACGTTACAGAGATTATGGAAGATTATGGATGGAGTGCTGGTACTGAATGAACACTTGGTACCCCCAGCTATAAAGTGAGACACTCAATAAAAGATGTTGCAGAAATACGAGTCATATATAGATGGGCTGCAAAAAAGCTCAGAGATGTAGAATTATTTTTGGATGAAGACAGGATAGACAAAAACAGGGGTAGGAAGAGGGCAGTAGAGGCTTAGAAGTTCATGACTGGTATGTGAAGGGGGAATAGCTACTCACTACTTCCTGCCCTTGGGAGCAACAGATTTGAAATGAACGAGGCACCACATCTATGTGTAATTTTGGCAGAGAATTATGGCAGAGAATATTATGATTATGAAAGGTATATGTGCTCTCTAAAAGCAGCTGAATAAACTCTTGAAAGGAGCTACAGAAACTGTAAATCATGAAGGGATGCACAGAATTACTGACTCAGGAGGTCCTTGAACTGTGGGCTTGCTTTCTCTTTCACTCTCACTGGAGGTTTAAGCCAAGAAGTAACAGTCCACTGGTGACCCACTTCCTCTTTCATTCCTTGAGAGATTAGGGATAAATGTCTGCTTGGTTTTAGCTTGGACCTATGACCCTACCTGTCTCGCTCTGATACCATCTGAACTAGATCTGTTGGAATTTAAAGCTCTTATTCCCTGTAGGAGCATAGCATCCTTCTATAAACATCCCTTGCTGTCTTTATGTTGGACGTGGTGCTAACTTACAGACACAGAATGGGAGAATAGAAAGTAAATCACACTTGATTAGCTAGACTAAAACAATACTGATCTTTATAGCTGTACAGACTGCCCATAATGTATATACAGTCATACAGATTGCTCACAAACTATACAGAATGTGGTGGCAGATAATAATCTGACCAGGATGAGCTTTTAGTTCAAAACTTGCCAGTGTTTTTGTGAATGTAATGGTACAAAGGAACTGCAGGTTAATTATAAGATGACACTATAATTGTGAATATCTGGGGCAATAGTTGTTGTGAAAGAGCTAATAAAGATTACACAAAATCTGCAGCAAATTTGAAACATTGGAAATGTTTGTACCTTTTTCCCACTCCTCCGAATATCCTTTTTGCCACCACCAGCATCACAGGTCCAGGAAGACCACAGACCACTATGCTGTGGAAGAAATGAAACAATGTCATAGAAATAACAGGCCTTTATATTAAAAGTCTGTGGTCACAAGATGAATAACAGAGCATACAATACACAGAATGGAAAATATGTCTCCTCTCACAAAACAGCAAATCACAAAGGCAGTACTGCAGGAATGGGGAGCCTGGCCTTAACAAATTGCCTCATTACAGCCATGTTAATTCTCTTCTCCATCGTCAGACTAAATGCTGACAGAGTCCAAAGGAAGGGGTAAAGTCCTAGTGACACCTCATCAGCTGCAATATTAGCCCTGTGAGATTTGGGAATAATTGCTGAGTTACAGATTGTGCAAGAACTCACACAAGTGGTCATTAAGGTTATAAAATCCCAGTTGGATTGTTACAAAAATGAAGTGTTATAATTAACTTCTAATAGCCTTCACTTTCCAGTGGGATTACAATCCACTCTGTCTTTATCATCCCCAAGGCGTGAAGCCCATTTATAGCAAGACTGTCAAATGGACAGATGCATGTGCAATACTTCAGAACCAGACTTGGCAAGACCAGTGGGCTAGATCACCTATTTTTCTTCAAAAACGTGTATTTTTCCTGCTAGCATTGACATTTGTATTCCACAGACATGTATTTAGCTCAGCACCATGTAAACAAGTCTCAAACAACCTTTTTTGGGCATTACAGCTAGCATGAAAATGTTGTCCTGTTAACTATCATAAAACAGCTTGTTAGGGGACGAGCACCTGAAATTGAGTCTCCAAATTCAGCAACCATAGGTCACCTCATATGCAGTACACAAACCAACACGTAATATTGTACAGTTCTTATCTTGAGCAATATTTTCCTTTTGCACTGGGAAATACACCATTAGCTACGTTTGGAGTTAGTCTGGTTCACAGCTGGCCTTTTGAAGGAACATGACACGTACAACTATCTGAATATCCAGCTTGGTTTAGCTACAAGCATCAAATCACTTCTCTAACCTATTGACATAACTGTTTTCTGTCACTTAACACTCCCAGTATACAGCTAATATAGGATAGCTACAGAAACTCAGAGCCTCCCCTGCTGACCTCGCGTAGACAATCTATATTTAGGAATGCCCATACCAGGAGTTTAAAATGCAGAATAAATACTTTGTTTTGCAAAGTTCTCAATACTCATTTTATGTTATTATTTCACCTGGTTTAATTAAGTAAAACAAGGAAATTCCTGGAATTACCTGCAATAGCAGTTCGATTCCACCTTTGAGGTGGGTTCTGAGAATAGTTTCAAACTAATTCTAGACAGCTCAGTAAATAAATAATACAAGGCAATTTGTACTATCATTTACTGTGGAATAGACAGAAAGAACAAGTCAGAATGGATTAGTCTCTCAAAGTCACATCCAGACAAGAACAAAGAGTAGTCCACCAAAGTTAATCAGGTAATGATAACAGCAACATTTTGCCATATACCCTTATGCACATGTATGTATCTTAGTGTATTTCATGCTGTTTGTGTGCCTAGTAGCTAGTCAGCTAAGAATTGCAGTCTCAGAGTGCTAAAATGCAACTTAGAGTAGAATAAAAATTATAGTTAAGATTTTAAAGAAAGATGCAAAGCCCTAGAAGGACACATTCTCAGCTTATCATGGAAGGGGTTTTGACTGAGCATGTCTATAAGTCATAATGTTTACACAGCTATAGCCATGGACTTCATTTTATCAAAATAAAAGCTTGTTCTTCACTAAAATCAGCTGTTACAACAGATATGAAAGGTATAAAGACAAACTGAGGAAAGTTAATCATGAATACATGGCTGCCTATGAATGGTAGAGAACAGTTCTGTCATTTTTCAATCACTACTTCTTAGGGCTTTAGATAGCATCACCTCACATTATGTTGAAGCATATGAGGCATCAGTCCAGTTCTGATTCAGCAAAAACTGTACCACCCCTTGATTCACCTTCACCATTTCCTCCTTCATGTAAATCTCCCGTTCAGCATATGGTCACAGCCCACAACAATGTGCAATTCTAGGTCTATCATTCTTTCCTTGGCAATAGGCTTTGTTTCAGTCAGTTCGTGCCACACAAGAAGGATGGTTCAACATGAATGTCATTTAAAAATAATGCAGCACAGGAGTAGCAGCATTGCTCATCAAGGGGTGTGACTTGGCCAGGCCATGTAATTGAACTGGTTAACTGGTATGCAGGAGAGCAGAGAACAGGCACACCCACCATTAGTAGATATATTGCTAGGTGCTTGCATTTAAATTATATTTCGCTCCTGGGAGATAATACTAAAAGATAGATTTCTTCTAAAAGGCTATTATTTAAATATTGTTATTCTTGCAGGAAACAGATAAATTTTAGAGGCAGAAATAAACTGCAGTACAAGTTCTTCTGTAGGAAAAAATGAACAAATTTCAAGGAGTGACAGCATTAATTAGACAATTCCAGCTCACAAAGGGGAAGATTTTACCTTAATTTCACCACAGGAATGAAACAGATGAGGAAAAAGGGTAAAAACTACATTCTGTTCTATCTTATGATAGAAGACTGGAATAACAACTAGTGGATTTCAGTCCAACTTCAGGGTGGTATTCCATCAGGAGTATGATGGAATATTTTTTACATTAAAAAAAAAAAAAACAACAGGCACTTGTCCAGAGCATCTGAACCAAAAGTTCTTGGTCATTCAGTTGTGTCTGGTCTTACACCTGGTTTAAGACCTGTTCTTCCATGTTCCATCGCAGAATGTTGCTCATAGAACTTCAGTAGTTTTTAATGACTCTCCCAGCACACTGACTGCACACACCCATAGGCAGCACAGAGAGTTATACATAAAATCTGTGCAGTACTAGTGGAAGATCTCATTTTCTTTTGTTTCTTAATACTATTAAGAAAAAAGTTAATTAGAAGTCATATAAAAGGAAAGTAAAGTTGGAAATGGAGATATTTTAAATCATAAAAAAATAGAATCAGATTGTACTGACTCTATCAGGGGACTTTCAACAGGAAAGCTTTCTTCCTTCCATTCCTAAAAAAACATTCTAGTGGACCTATCTGTATTTAAAGTGTAAGGATTTATTATTATTTTTTTGAATCTTATCAACAGTCTCCTCTCTTTTGCACCAAGCCATTAAAATAATCAATAAAGAAGTAAAGTTATAATCAGTGCAGAAGATACTGTTGGGCCTAACTAAGGTAAAGTAATTAGGAGGGAGTATAGGGACGATTAAATAGGTAAGGGCACTTACTAACAGCTCAATCATAGCGAATAAATATTACTTAGGGGGATGCCCCTCTAACAAGCATCCCAGTCCTAGAAAGGAAATGGATTCACCCACCTAATCACTTCCACATTTGGTCATAGCCTGTATCCTGGATGGCCACTCCTCAGATTTCTCCCATGTCATCCTTCAGGCCTCTTCAGCCCAGATTTTTTTTCCTCCTGCTGCACATGGTGTCTCATCCGGTTAGCAATACAGCTGAGAATGAGCATGGTTCAGGTCCTGATCACAGAGAAGGAGATATGTGCTATTCCTGGAAGTCACCTTGAAGAAATACGACAGCCTTTGAAATAGGTGAAACCAGTAACATCTTGAAATTGTACAGCAGGATTTCCTGATATTCTGCCTGCTTGATAATAATGCGAAATTGAAAGAAATGTGTGGCTTTTGGATGATACAAACCTGTCTACAAGAGGAAGCTAACCAGTTTGCAAGACCGCTTATAATTTAGAAAGCTTGTATTCTGATATTAAACTACTCCCACAGAGGAACTATTCCTATCAG